GTACATGGAATGGAGAGTACATCTTGGTAACTACAGTCAATTAAAGCCGTCTCATAATTTTAAATTTTAGAGTAGAGAGTGGATAAAAATATTGTTACGTCTAATTGATCTTTTGAAATAGAGTCCGATTATTTAGGAAAGAGTACAGTAGCGCAGTGAAACGATTTCGATCTGGACCGAATCAAGTGGCTTCGAGCACAGCTGTTTTCTCCCATTCAGCGTCGGCTGGAATTTCTAACTGTGAATTGCGTAAAACTGTTGATCTTGTGACAGTATTTTTAAAAGTGTGATACAAATTTTGAGGTAAATATTGTTGTGAATTTATGAACACACGGATGTATTAAACTAAAATAACTTTATTAATAATGAATACACTTATTTTAAATTAACACTTTCTCTCATGTTAGGTTAGGTTCTATTCTGCACCGTTTCCTCTTCTCTTTTTACAGTGGATAAAATGACAAGTAATCACAACACTCCTCGATTTGAAGTTTTACAAATGTTTGGATAAATGAAAATCGTGATTACAAGAATAAACAATTGCAGTGTTATACAATATTACACTTATCTCTAAGTTTTACAAATAAATCCTTGCTTAAAGGTTTTGTTAACATGTCTGCTAAATTTTCCTCAGTTGGTACATATTCAACAGATATTTTCTTGTGTAATACTAAATCTTTTAAATAATGATTCTTTATATCTATGTGTTTAGCCCTTTTTGAATTCTCATTACTTTTTGACATTAATATTGAACTTCTGTTATCACAAAAAAGCAGTTTCGGGAATATTAAGCTTAAAATCATTTAACACCCCTTTAAGATTCATTAGGTCCTGAGCACAGCAGCCGCTGCAACATATTCCGCTTCGGCGGTAGAAAGAGCAACGCATCCCTGTTTCTTTGAAAACCAGCATACAGGGTTGTTACCAAGTAAAATTAAGTAACCACTTACACTCTTCCGATCATGTTTATCTGATGCGCAATCTGAATCTGAAAAAGCTTTTAATTTTACTCTGTCATTACTTGATTCATTTTTCACAAAAGTTAATCCTTTAAATTTAGTAGTATTTAAATGACATAATATTCTTTTTCCTGCGTTCCAAGTATCATTTGTTGGCTTGTCCAGAAATCTACTTAAATATGAAACAGAAAATGTTATATCAGGTCGTGTATTTGTTGACAAGTACATCAGTCCTCCGATCAATTGCCTGTAAGGACCATTCACAATCTCACTATTTTCATTATATTGAAATCCTTTTTCCATAAGTGTAGATTTTCCACTACATTCTTTCATGTTAAAATTTTCCAATAGTTTTTCAATAAATTTTGTTTGCTTTATTTCTAGTTTACCTTGATCTTCCTTTCTGTTTATTGTCATCCCTAAGAAATTTTTGACTTCTCCCATATCTTTTGCTTGAAAATGTTTCTTTAGTAAAAATACTGTTTCTTCAATGTTTTCATTCTTTCCCACTACTAACATGTCATCTACATATAATAATATCCAGTTATTTTTACCACAGTACAAGCAGCAATCATGTCTTGATCTCTGAAAATTGTTTTCAACAGCAAAATTATTAAAAGTTTCATTCCAAACTTTTGGAGACTCTTTGAGACCATATAAAGCTCGATTTAATCTTAAAACTGTTGATTTTATTTGAAGACCTTCAGGTGGATATACATAAACCTCATATCTAACTGTTTTATTTTCCAATCTTTCTGTAATGCTGTGGAGAATAAAACTCTTATTGTTGCCATACATGCTACAGGAGAGTAAACTGGTTCATAAAGATGCTTCTCCTTAATTTGGAAACCTCTAGCCACTATTCTAGCCTTTTTTATGCCATCTTCTTTTGTTCGAAATACCCATTTTGTCTGTGTCGGTGTTTTACCTTCTGGTAATTGCACTTCAGGCCAGGTTTGCATTTTTTCATGCGAGTGTAATTCCTTTTTTATAGCTTCCTTCCATTCAGCTGTTTTTATCGCCTCATCGTAATTCTTTGGATCATTCTGTGATGTTAGCAAATAATATGCTGAGTAAATTTCATACTCACTAAGATGTTTTGGTGTGTTTATCTTATCATGTCTTGATGTCTCAGTTTTTGTTACATTTCTGTCTTTATCATTTAAACTTTCTGACTCTATTCCATCATTGTCATCTTCTGATTCATTTATTCTACCTACTTCATTTTCGTCTGCTTCTGTCTCTTTATTGTAATTTTCTTCATCTCTTATTATTATTTTCTTCATCGCTATGTTTTTGTCTTTGTATTGTAATTTGTCTGATTTTCATCAAATGTAACATCTCTTGAATATATAATCTCATTCTTCTCAAAATCCCAAAGCCTGTATCCATTTAAACCATATCCAGTCATGATACACAATTTTGCACGTTTCTCTAATTTATTTGCTTTTGGTAAAACAACTGACCATGCCTTACTCCCAAAAACTCTTAATTTTGATAAATTGTTATTTTGATACCATCTTGTCGAGGGAGGAACACCACCGTTTGCTTTTGTGGGTGACCGATTTAACTCGTATGTTGAACATAAGATTGCCTCTCCCCATAACTCTTTGGGTAAATTTGTTTCAGCAAATTTAGTTCTTACTTTATCTAACAAAGTTCGGTTCATACTCTCAGACTTACCGTTCTGTTGCGGGCTATATGGCAGCGTATACTTAATCTCAATACCTTTATTTTTGCAATACTCTTTAAAATAATTTGAAGAAAATTCACCACCATTATCACATCTAATTTTTTGACCCTGATGTGTTTTTATTAGCTTAATAAAATCAATAACGTTTTGAGCAGCCTCATCTTTAGATTTTAACAATTTGACTACCAAAAAATGTGAATAGTCATCAAGTAAAACCTGAAATTACCTATGACCTTTTAAAGATGGAGTTGCCACTGGCCCTGCAATATCTGTATGAATAAGTTGACCAATCCGAGTAGTTTTTCTAGTACATTGATAAAAAGTTTTTCTAGTACTTTTACCTTCAACACAATTACTACAAATTTCATGACTATAAGGTAAACTTAACTGTTTTAGACCATAACGATTTAAATGTCCTAGTCTCTTATGCCAAATATTTCCTGCATTATCATTTATTACTTTATAGCAATTTTCAGTTTTTAAATTTATAACAATCAAAAATAAATTATTAAAACTTTCACAATAAAATGTAACATTGTTGTATATTATTTTTGCATGTTTTCTACCTGTTTTATCAGTTTCAAATATTATTTTAAAACCTTTTGTTAATAATTTTGACACAGAAATTAAGTTATCCGACATACCATTAACTATTAGAGCTTCTAATTTTATTTCTTTACCTTGGCAAATACCACTCAGCGTTCCCTTTTTCTCTGCAATGAACGTCTCCCCACTCTTGGCCGTACCTATTTTTATTTCTGTCTTTAAATCTTGTATATCTGTCATATAGTCTTGCAGTTCACTTGTCACTAAATGTTCACTAGCTCCAGAGTCCAAAATAAAACTGTTTATGTTGTCATTCAAGCTCACACTATTTAATGCAATAAATGCAACTTGTTTATCACTTTCTTTTACTTCGTTTGCCTGCTCACTTGTGTTTGCATTCGCACTATACCTACTATTACCTCGACGTGAACCTCTGTAATTTGTAGCAAATCTACCTCTATCTCTATGCCTATTCTGTAAACACTCAAAAAATTTGTGACCTTGTTTGCCACATTTAGAACACACATATTGACTTGTTTTGAATGTAACTTTATTATCATTTCTACTATTTTTATTTGATTTCGTTTTTAATTCTTCGTCCAACAATCTCGATTTGACAAAATCCATTGTTACATCTGTGTTTAATGTTTCAATCGCCGTTATTACAGGATCATAGTTCTCATTAAGAGACAAAAGTAAGTGGTGCACCTTATCCGATTCTTCGATTTTTGACCCAATACTTTCTAATTCTCGTATTACAGAGTCAAATTTCAAAAAATAATTTTTTGTTCCTTTTACATTTTATTGTTAGCAACTTCTTCTTTAAAGTCAACTTCGAAAATACACTTTTCCTTTGAAATACATCTTCTAATTCTTTTAACATATGCTGCGCTGTAGTTGAATCTTTAATTATATCAAGGTGTTTGTCACTTACACATTGCACTATAATTGATTTAGCCTTTGCATCCCTTATTTTAAAATCTGTCTTCTCTTTTTCCTCAGCAAAATTTGATACTTCTTTCTCCAACGTATCTTCAATCTGTTTCTCCTCCAGAAATGCTTTAACTCTAAACCTCCAGTTATTATAATTCTGTGCATTTAATTGTGGAAATACCACCCACGACCTATTCATTTTGCCGTTACAAGTTTAATACCTGTTCAAAAAAAAATTTTTCAAATTTTCTTTATCTACCTTCCGCCAGCCAACGTCTTGCGTCGTTCTGGGCCCATAACCTGTTGTGAATTTATGAACACACGGATGTATTAAACTAAAATAACTTTATTAATAATGAATACACTTATTTTAAATTAACACTTTCTCTCATGTTAGGTTAGGTTCTATTCTGCACCGTTTCCTCTTCTATTTTTACAGTGGATCAAATGACAAGTAATCACAACAAATATGTTTTTAATGTTTAAAATAAACGGATTCAACACAGTTGAAAAAATCTTAGTACACTTCAATAAAATAAAATTAGTGAAAAATTTAATACGGTAAAAATAAATGCAGATCAACCGAACAACGCAGTTGCTTGGTTCAGTGTTCTTAACAAACTAACTACAAACGGTCGTAAAAAGTGCGTCATGGTCATATATGACCGATATTATTCAGAAGTACCAATAAATCAAAAAAATGCGTAATAGTAACAGTAACATTTAAATAGCAAAGATGTTAAACGACCATTCTCAAATTTTTGATTCTTCATAAATCTCAACAATTTTATAATATTTAAAATAAAAATTATGTTGAACATTATTTGTTTTGAAGTTATATTTTTATCGGAAGTAGATAGTGCACTCACCTAAGATGGCCCCTAAAAAATAAACAAGAAAGGATTAATAATTCATAGGCAAGAGCTTATGAAAAAGGAAGCAGAGGAAGGAATAACTATTCCACTCAAAGAGCACACTTTGTTTTTTCTTCTCAGTTATTATATAGGTAAAAAATATTAGACAGCTGATAACATTATAAGCTTAGCATTGTTTCTTTAACACTCTGTGGGGCCAAATGGGCTTCAAGTAAGTTATTTATTAATATGACAATATGAAGATAAACGGAAACTTTCGATAGAAAACCGTGATATCCGCCTCAAAAGAATTAAATATCAGATTTAGAATAAAAATATATTCGATTTTTTTTTCTGCTGTAACGACTTTGTGAAAAAATATATTTTATTTGTATTATTTATTACTGTATTACTTACGAAACAGGTAAATAAAGGCTTAAAAATAATAATTTGGGGTTTATTGTCGACGGAAAAATTACTACTGCATACAACAATAAATTTATTGATTTGATGCTTGTGTTGTCATTCGTATTTAACTTCTTTAAAATCAGACCTTTAGTTCCCTAGTGTTGTGAGGCATTATTTATATGCGTATAAAATTTAAAAAATGTCAATACAAACAGCGCATAATTAGTTTATCTTATTAACGTCTTAATGTATTATCTTACACGTCACGCCACTAGCAGAACAAATTACCACTGCTTCAGACAATCACTTTCGCGCAGAAAACAATGACGTCACGTACTCTTTACTAAATAATCTGACTCTACCTAGGAATTTTTTTTAAATTCGCAATTGTTTTTTTTGTTACAAGTTAATGCAAATGATACTGTTGTTTTACTAACAACGACTATTTTTCACACACCGTAGTCAAAAGCAATTACAATTTCTAAAACTTTAAAAAGTTCAAAGAAACATAATTTTCTGTATTTTAGTTATAGTAAATTAAATGTTTTTTGAATGCTGAATTTGATCAAATGTAAATTGACAGCCCTTGTTTGTAATACAAAGTCTTATAACTAATTTTAATCAAGAGCGCTCACACTCACGCCAAAAGGATTGCATTCACATATTACTTACCAAAAACTGCGGAAAGGGCAATGATGTGAGATGATATAGAACCTATTGCCACAAGTTTCGATTGTACGAGTGCTTCACATATCATCATCAGCAAATATGTAGATGCAATGGCGGATGGTGTGTAAACAATAAAAGATAGAGAATCGACTATAATGTCTCTTAGGTGGTCACCTGGATGGCGTAGAAACACTAATATTGACCACGGAATACTGTATCTAAAAGATTGATATATCCTCGATTTCCAGCCCTTTTTTGGAATACCTACACAAAAGTGTTAAGGCCTTACTTTGGTTCTCTCACAATTTGGTAATGATGTTGACAAAGTTCGCAGTTACTATGGTTAGATTCTTTTAACCACCTCTCCAGACATTCGAGATGTACCAAAGCCACAGTTCCTCGACATCTACAAGGAGTTAAAAGTTCATTCATGCTTTCCCCTCCGTGGCAGATCCGGCATATAAATTCCGCTGATAGGGAAGACTACAATAATAAGAATGAAATTGTGACGTTAAACAACCAAAAGCTGAAAATGCTAGTTATTACTTACATCAGAATTTAAAAGGCCTACCGACACACGACAACTATCAAGATTTAATTTATTTGCCTGGGCTTTGCTTGTTACTGAGACTAAAGGGTGAAAAACAACTTTGGTGTTCTTAAATAATATTGTAGGGTTTACTTTATTTTCTTGATTTATCCTCGTTTCTACACCGTCAGAAACATCTGCAATCATCAGACCAGTAGTTAGCTCAAAGACCAAGCATAAGTATTTTTATACTCGTATTTTTATACATAAAAAAAAATTGTCGACGGGTGAAAAATGTCTTTAATTATTAGTCTAGAATTAGCCTTTAATGTGCATTCCAGAATTGGGTTGTAGGAACAAATCGCTGAGTTTTGGTTAGTACATCAAAACAAAACGAAATTATGAAATTGGCGAAAAAGTTTCTAGTGATCAGATTATACAGTCAGTGTGTCCTCATTTTTGATGGTGTCTACTTTTTCATAAGATGACAACCAGAAATGTATCTTTGATTTTCAGGTATTTTTAGACTCTTTAACTCTGTTATGCGTAAACTAAAAAAAAGGGAAAAATGATCTGGATGAGTTTTTTTTACGTAGAATCTGGTGGTGTATTTTCTTCGGAAACTGATTTATTTTTATGTACAAATTGAATTGTCTCTTTTAAAAACTTTATTTGGAATTTTATTGGCTTTTCAAATACAAAGTACGTAATTTTATTTTTCTACTCCCGTCTGTAAAATCCCTAATTACCCACCGATCTAGCGTGCGGAAAGCGTCACTTTACCACCTCAGTTTCGTTTCCCACGAATCCGAGCCACTTCGGATATTTCCGGGATTTTACCGCACGAGTTTGGCAGCAATCGGATGTTTTCGGATATATTTCCCACGCTTTGAATTTTGACGTTTGTCAATTCTGACGGTCATGTCAGTGAATGTATTCTGTTTTTCGAAAATGTATGCAAAAACTAACGGTCTCGTTTATTAAACACTCGTTCCGCTCGTCTCAAATAAACTCGTGAGTCAAATGCCGTTTACCGAAGGTGTTGCATACTATAATTTTTCTACGACCGTCAGTTTTTGGGTACATTTTCGCAAAACACGAATATATTTACTGACATGACTGTCAGAATTGGCAAACGTCAAAATTCAAAGCGTGGGAAATATCTCCAAAAACATTCGATTGCTCCCAAACCCATGCGGTAAAATCCCGGAAATATCCGAAGTGGCTCGGATTCGTGGGAAACGAAACTGACGTGGTAAAGCGACGCTTCTCGCACGTTAGATCGGTGTGTAATTAGGTATTTTACAGACGGGAGTAGAAAATATACTATTATGACCATGGACAGTCCTTTTTTGTTAATATACTGCAGTTGTCAGTCATGACATTTCGTAATTATTATTTTAATTTATGCCTCTTCTGCTACGGCTCATGTAATTATTTAGTGCAATTATGAGGAATTGGATATAATAAGGGTATCTTCTCAAGGTTCATTTAATATTTTAGACAAATTAGTTTATTTCTACAGGTAACCAATGCAATGTAATAAAAAAATGTATGCTTTATATTTGAAATAGCTCTTTTGTGTTATATATATATTACAATTTTACATGTTTGTAAGCTAGCGACCTGATAATTTTCAGAAAAATGACTACACCGTCCGAGTGCATAAAGTTACAGGAAGATATTCAGCGCTTTGTATCGTACTGCAAAAATAATGGTCTCTATATAAGTACTGAAAAATGCTGTGTTATCTGAAAAGAGTAACAGAAGTGAGGGATCTCTGAGTAGTATTAGACGAGAAGCTAATATTTCCATCTCACATCAATACTGTCAAATCATCGTGTTTTCAAATGCTAGGCTTCATTAGTAGACAAGTAAAAGTGTTCAACAGGGTTCACGCTTATCTTATACTGTATCGCGCATATGTTCATAGTAGAATAAATTTTGGAGCCCTAAGTATAGAAAAATAGGATTGAAAATTTACAAAGAAAATTTTTGAAATGCTCCTGGGGCAAAGAAAATCTTAACTCACTACCCCAAAATTTAAACGACTGAAGAATGCATTATAAGCTATTAACATCGGAGAATCGGAGTGTAGGCACTGATATTCTTTTCTTGCATAACATTTTGAATGGCCGTGTGGACTCTCCTGAGATATTGGCAAGACTTAAATTTAATGGAGCATCTCGAAAAGTTAGAACTATGCCTTTATTTATAATTCCCTTTAAAAACACTAATAACTCAAGCTTCTCCCCTGCTACGTATGCTAAGAGCTACAAACCTTCACTGTTAGAGCCGGATTTATTTACGATCTCACAGGATTCCTTAAAGAAGACACTGACTGTTAGACTATTGCATCGACATTCGTTATCTAATTCTCTTGCTTTTACTGATTTAAAGTGTTTCCTTTTTTTTTCTAAGCTTTGTATAATATTATTTACCTGTATTTCGATTCTTAAGAGGGCACTGTTGTAGGGATAACCTGTTTGTGTCCCAAAGAGCATGTAAATAAATATTTTGAACAGTCTAATTAAATTAAAAAAAAATTGTATATAGTTTATATATCAAAATTTCTGACTTTAAGAAAAAAAACTGACTTCGCCACTATGCAAAAACCCTATCTAGACCAGTTTTCACCGTTAACGCAGAACCGAACTACAAGAGATGTCCAAAAATGCAAAATTTCGAAAATCTAAGAATTCACAGTAGCTATGACATCTCTCTGCGTCACCTTTCAATTCATGAAAAAGTATCCCTGGATTTCTACAACCGAAGCAAAAACTACACATTTTAAGGTAAATTTAAATCTCAAAAAGGCAAGGCAAGGATAATAAACGTATACATACCGCATAGTTCAGAACTCGACGAAGAGTTACTAGTGGAAAACAATGCCACCCGTGAGTTAATATTCAAAACTTTTTCTTCACTCAGATCACCAATAGTTTCCCATTCTTGTTCTTGAAAATACTTACTCTGCTTTTTACTAATAACGCAAATTCTGGAAATTTGTGAATCGGTGTTTTCCAAATGCGACACATCCAATTTAAACTGATTAGTTATCGATTCCGTTAAAATAGCGGCCACAAACACTTCCGCTCTTTGTTTTTCGTGCATATTATTGAGAATTTTGGAAAGAGATGAAGGATGATAAAGTGAAAATGATTTACTTGTCATGAATTGCTTTGCTGTCAAAATTCATTCCAACAAATTCACTGAATGTATATGAATATTAAAAAGACGGTGTTTTAATAAATGAAAGAATTTGGGCAAAAAAAACTCAAAATATAAAAAAGAAAATTCTGTAATTTATTCTTATATCTTTAACCTAATTTTCATACATTAAATGCATTTTAATAATATAAATCTTGATATAACTTAATTTAAAACTATGTAAAACTCAGCTGCAATAGTAGAGCTCGTTGGTAGATAACACTCAACAGTTGCTATCTATAAATTTTTTTAAAAAACACAAAGTATCACCAGTCATAAAAATCACATAAAACTTGTATCCTCTGCCAATTAGTGTTATAGACCACTTAAACGTGACAAGCCACTTCCAATCAACCAAACTTGCTTAAAAAATTATTTTTGGAAATTTTGACACAGGATGAGAACTTGTGGGAGGAAGAAGCAAAATGCAAAAGTTTCTTGCGTCGAGTTAAGCTTTTTAGAGAGGAGACGGCGACGGAGATTGATAAACACAGGAATAACATTCAGTCAGTCAGTTTGAGTTATTGATATAGGTTTGCAAGTGTTTAACTCTGTATCAATTATTTCGGTGTTAATTTATATAAAGCAGCAATATTATTTTAAAATTTGTACTAAGTATTAAGTATTACTAACAATAGATAGAAAGAAAACAATAGTTTTACCCCATAAACAGGTTTCATGTTTATTTTACTTTTTCCATTCATTTTATATAAGGTACCCCGAGACGTTAATATGTCTATCACAACCTTCAATAAACGTCCTCAGTTGTTGCACTACGATTTCAACCACCTGTAAAATTAACATTCCCATAATTAAATACAATTTATTTCCAAAAAGGTTGTTTTCATTGCAGTTGAAAAAAACTGAAGACTGACGAAGACAGAAATGTAACTGAACTTCGTGAAGAAGAATTCATGAAAGCTCCCACACATTGTTGAAAGGCGATTGCATTTTGGAAAAATTTACAACTAAGAAGTCGTATAAATTCTAGGTGGGACAGATAACTGAAATCGAAACATATTTAGAAGTCAAATTTGCCAGGAGGTTGAGGTCTTTATCACAGTTTTATTGGCCGGATTTCTATTATAAATAGGGAACAAATACAACTGTTTTTGCCTGCTCCAGATATCGGCAAAAAAGGGAAAATTTGTTTCAACATCATATTTGAAGATACTGTATGCTAGATTACTTTATATTAAGTGAATTAGACACTGTATTTACACATGCCCCAAGTCGTTGGGGACCTCACAAAATAAAAACAAAAAAATTGAAAAATCGCAAAAAAAATTGTTGCCACATGTATGATTGAGAACATGTTATTAACGTCCAGGTCACGGAACAGGAATGACAGCAAGAAATTTGAACCATTGAAATTCTAGGACCCACTTCCCCCGTGTACCTTAATTTACTGACTAATTTTAGCTAAAAATTCCACTAATACTTGAACAATAAAACTATAATATCTAAAAAGCTATACCACAAACTTTTGTATCTAACTTGTTTTTGTAGTTCTTATGTTGACCACCCCGTAGGTACAGTTGCAATACTGCAAATTGTTCTTCAGTTGTCTATAAAATTAATTGAATAGTAGGAAACACAAAATTTCTTTTCTAATCTTATGCTTTAAACGTTCTAACAACACGAATTACGTATTGGCGGCAAATTGGGCATTCTGCTAATTTTTTCCCACATTCTATGCAAGATGTGATATGACCGCATTCCAAAAGTACACAGTCCAAAGGTGCATCCATACATAATTTGCAAAGCTCCTGTATTGGAATATTCTCAGCAGTTCCTGAAAAATATGAACTAATTTAATTATATACTATACACGGTGTTTATTAATTGTGTAATAATACTTAAAGGAGTAAACTTTCATAATTTTAGGAAGTTAAACATTTTTAGCAATTTTTTAAAGTGAAAGCTGACCAATTCAAAAAATGAGGAATCCAAAAATAATTTTAAACTCAGTATGGATGTCACCGGTAAAAATTTTAAAAATCTTTCACATAAAAAAATGCTATTAGATGATAAAAGGTGTCTAAACAATCTTATAAAAATATCTAGAGGCATAAGAAAATTATGTTAAAAGTTATTCTTTTGTTAAAACACTCTGTAGCTCCAAAATTAAGACATCTGATTTAACATTTACATACTTGTTTTAATCTCAATATTTTCTTGCCCTGTGTTATTTTCAGTGTGTAATTTAATATTTGAACATTGCAAATATGTTTAATTTTAACACGCTGAAGAATTACAATTCGCTCCTTTGGAAATGATGAATGTTTTTCTGAGTGCTTTTTTTAAATTGAATTGTTTATTAAGTAAAAATTAACTGAGATATGTGAAAATAAATAATAATAATAATAAATCACTAAGACCAGGTCAAATAGCAAAATCTAAATCTATGCACATTTATGAACCAATCAGGCATAAGCAAGGTGTCACTTAAAGTCGGATATGATATGGGAGTTATGGATATCAAGATTTTTGAAACGCAGGAAACAAAGAGTAAAGCTTTTTATTTTATATCAAAAACCATCTCAATCTAATTCTGCCTAACTCTTAAATTATTCATACCGCTTTTTGTAGATGATCTGTAATTATATAGATGTATTCGTAACTCAATTGATATTACAAGAAGAAATTAAGAAAATTTTGGAGTTTAAATGAAATAATGATGTGCTTTTTATTTAGCTTTTTTAAGAGCAGTAATACATTTGAATACATAATGAATAATGAAAAATTATGTTATAAAAATCAGGTTAGAGATCTAGGTGTAACTTATAACGAAAATGTTGATTTTATAGATCAATTATCACACATAACACAAAAAGGTCTCAAGCTAATAGATTTCGCATTGAGAAATTGTGACGAAAATTTCCAACAGTTTAGCAAATTTATGTAAGTAGAATTATTAGGCGTCTGAAACAATTAAATTCATACAAGGGGAGCATTACAACTCATTTCTTAAAATGTAACTCAGAAGTCAAACTGGAGTGGTACTCCGTTATGTTAGCTTGATTTTACTTTTAGTATATTTTTAAATAACCTCACAGCTTAGATAGCTCTATAATTTAATTGATCTATATATTAAGTAAAGTTCAATAAAGTTCAAGTTCAAATCTCAAGTTGCAGTAGTAGGCGACTCTATACAACCTGCATGCATTTTTTTGTAAATTTGGTATCTAATTTTTGTTATTTTTTGATCATCTGTAAAAACCACATAAAAGATTGTGCGGATGTGATAAATATATAACAAATAATTTTACCTAGTTGTTGGGGTCAAAAATAATCTATTATATTATGAAGTATCATATTCATATTCCTTCCATCTAACTTGAAAATTTCCTGAAGTTTAAAATAAAGCTGTATTATTCATGGCACTTACAATGTTGAGAACTTCCAACTTTTTTAAAGTTATAAATTAATTATAAGTAAAGTTTTGTCAAAAAGACTATCTACTTCGTCCAAATTTTGGATGTCAAGGATTATTAGTTTATTGATAGAATTAGAATTTCTCAATCACGTACAAAGTGTTTAAAAAATAGCATCAAATTCCAAAATTTTAAATCAATTACTCTGTATTTTATAATCACAATTAGCTAAGAAAAAAATCTATCCTTATACTTAAATGCAGTAATTTTCTAAGTGTTCTGCAAAACCTAAATCCGTCAGTACAACTACAAACAAAAATAATAAATCTACGGCAACTTGACACATAAAAAAGCTTTTAATTAGCTATTTCCTTATCAACAACTGACGCAGCGGGAATCCAGAAAATTTTGAAATAGTTTATAGTAGCCTGTTTCTTTGAAAAATATTAAACCATTAGCTTCAAAAACATTATATTTATACCATTAAATGTGAAGTAAAATAATGTTTTGGCACTATGTTCATATAAGCGCAGAAGCACAGCAAAAAAAACATATATATATATATATCAATTTTTTAAAAACTTCCATTTTCGGAAAACACCTATTCAGTTTTTCATGGAAATTGAGCCTCGGGCACCGACATGAGTTTTCATGTCCCCTTAAGCAAAACTTTCTCATTTAAAACTTATTAACAGTTTCTGTAGAAGTTAATTGATAACTTAAGAAAACAGTTGAATTTAGATGAAATAAATCTAAACTGTTATGCAGAATACGAATACAGAATAATCTAGGGTATTGAATTCAAGTTTCAAAGCTGTTATGATGTTTAATTAGATCTGCCAACACTGAGATAGTGATAGTACGTTTCAAATGTAAATCGCACCATCTCACGGCCGCAACTAAGATTTGATGACAAAATCTCAGTTCTCTAGATATTTCTAATAGGCCATTGAGATTGGAGTATCACGTATAATGAAAAAGAATAAGGAAATAAAGGGTTCAAGCATAAAGTTTCCAATACAATATATTTACCTTGATTTTGTTTATTATCCTCCCACAACCTTTGTGCTCTTTCCAGCAGTTCGCCCTTTTCTATGCAACCTTTAAAGTCCACCCTATTAATAGTTAACAAAATTTTTAAATCCTTTGCTGAGAGTTGATTTAAATTTTCTGAACTTGCAAAATCATCAAGCTTTGGATATCTGGCTGGCAATGGACTGGATTCTGTTATGTTAGCCTAAAGGAAATTTTTAATTTTCACACCAAATCAATATTCATAAGACAACAAAAATTTGAGATTTTTATGAAACATTTAAATCTCACTTTTACTGGTTCCAGACTACTTTGGTTAAAATGGCGAGAAGTAGTTGGCTGATTGTCATCCAGAGAGGTTGTCTGTAGGGGCGGGGGAGGTGCCCTGTTTTTCTTCACATGAGGCTCTGAAGCGGGTCCTGGAGGTGGGGCGCTTGCAGGTCGGGGACCAGAGGTTTGATTATCTATTATTATGGAATCTAAGTTACCTATGAAAAGAAAAGCTACTCATTATTTTCATTAAAATTTTATTGCCTTTAAAATTTTCACCTTTCATATTTCTAAGCAATATGGAACCAATTCATTTAAAAATTAGGTATTGGATTTCAAAAAAAAATCAAGAAAAATGCTGTCAATCAGTGTGTCAGTAAAGAAAGTGAATATGACTCCTAAATGAACTGCAGATCATTGAAATGTTAATTTGTTTTTGTTAAACACAAAAGATCCAGAGAGCCCCATTACAGTAAGTAAAATTGAGAGAAAAGGGAGCATGTCAAAGAAATTATTTTATTAGTTGTTGAAAATGCCCCATGGTGTAGTATTTGAAGATCTCGCAAACCATTCTATTGACTCACTTCAATCAATCCACTGTTTGGGAAATCCCGTAGTTAAATATTTGGAAAAGGGACTGCGAGAGTAGGAATTAACACATTTTGAACAAATTCTAAATATAGGCTCCAAAAATTTTGTTGAGGATGTTGTGTATGATTTTCTCTCATCATTTTTATTACCTATCATTGTAACTAAAAGTCTTTTTGAACTGTATTTTTACTAAATTTGTAAGTCATTTTTGAAAAACATAAAGCTGAATTTTTGTTAATTTCAGTCTTGATTTAATTCATTTAACAGTAACAATTAATTTACTATCCATGTATCCAAAGTTCTTCACTTTTGTTCAATGTATTTATAAAAATTTCTAAAATTAAAGCACAATGACAACCAAAAAAGAGAATATACCTAATATAAATATTAGTAGATCAAGCCAAACAAAGAACATGACATCAGAAAACACTATACTTTTAGAAAGAGTCAAAGCACTATCAAAAAGTGAGTAACAATATGGAGGCACTATTATATTTAGCAGCCTAGGTGAAGAAGACAGTGAAAAGCGCAAGTTTTTCTTTGACTTAAGACTAAATTCTAAAGAGTGTAATACCTGCACCCTCTGTACCTACCCCTATTTTTTTTATTAGTACCACAAAGCAAACTGTAAAGAATGCACATTATTGCATTAAAGGTTAGGGAACTATATTTTCTTCAATTAGCTGTTTCAAAATACCTTATCTACATGATAAGTTTAGTCACTCCCTGTTATCTCTAACAGATTAAATGTGCCTCAAATAAAACCAGAGGCACTGGCACTATGAGTAAATAACATAAGCAACAGCAGGTAAAAAATGTATCTATAAATACCAACTTTGATTTAGTTTAAATATCTGCAATTCTTAAACTGAAGGAATCAACATGCATGTTACAAAATTTATTGCTTTACATATAAATTATGGTATGTTTATTCTGAATCAAATTTACTTACTTAAAAATCCATTCACCGATTTCAAATTTGGGACTCCGCCAAAATTAGCAGTCAGTCTATCAACACCTCTTCTCTGTTTTTCTGGTATATGTTTATCACAAAACAGATCTACTAATTCCTTCTTTTCTAAAATACATTATAAATTATCCAATACATCTTAATGAACGCTCAAATTGACAAACCCACTAATCCATATGTAGAAATATTATTTTTATTCAAGTATTCTCTTAAATCCTTTACTTTTAATTCCATAAGCTTTAATCTATCGGGCGGTCTTTTCAGTAAAATTGTGCAAGTTTCACAGTATAGTATGCTAAAAATGTAAAACATCAACTAAAAATTGCCTCTAGTTTTGTGATAAAACTACATACCCATCTTTTCTTTTTAAACATTTATTGCAGTATTTATCTTCGCACTCTCCACATCGTATTTTCCAGTTAAATAGAGTAAAATCAGATTGGCATTTAGTGCAAGGCATACTTTTTATTATAATTTAGGTAAAGTATTTGAAAAAGGGGGTCGGATATTCAAAGAAATAATTGGATTCTATTCCAAACATTCCCGATAGCTGATAACATTTCCTGAATATTGTTATACATTTTGCCTGTTACTCTTCTTTTTCAACATTTCCAATCGACACTGTTGTAAAACGTATTAGAGCTAAAAAGAAGCAGACGAGTGATGTCCAATGGTCGCATTCAGCGGACGTAGCAAAGCGCTCCCGATACGTAGCGGTAGCGACTGGCAACGTGTATGTATGTAGAGGTTCTTCTTCTTCTTCTTGTCAATATTTTGGCTTTGCAACTAGGCAGTCTGCCAGCTTATTAGGGGAGTCCTCAGCTTGACGAGCAGAGCTCCTGGGAACTCCCATCTACTTTTACCCTTAGATGTTTTATATTATTTACTTTGCTCAATAAAGAGTAAATTATTCGGTAATGGAGGTATCTGTTAGTAATACAAACATATGGGGGGAAGAGGGCATAGAGGTTGGATTTGTTGGAGATATGGATTCTGAAAATATTAATGATAGATATAACGTTACAGTTTAATTTTATTAAAGTTTAAAAATGAAATTATGATATCTGTAATCTTTTTATTGGGTTTAATTATTACAGCAGATATGTTAAGAGGGGCTTTGATGCCCAGCTTTATAAAAGAATTGTAGATATCAAGATCGGGTATCTCATTTATAGGGCATTCAAAGAACATGTGGTTCAGGTCCTCAATCTTTCCACATTCGCAAAATGGGCTATCGTTTATACCTATTTTATAAGTGTCCTGTTCTCATCCTTGTAATAATGGTGACATGTCTTCTGTCTATATATTCTTGTCCGTCAAACCATTTTTTTTTTGGAAATTCATTTTGAATATTAGCATAAGTCTTGCCCTTAAATTTTAATATATTTTTCCAATGTCTGTTGTGTTGATTAAGTATTTTTTGTTTTATGATATTAAGAATTTCATTTTTATCTAAGTCAATGGTTTTTGGAATATTTAGGATTGTACCTATTTTTGCTAAAGAGTCAACAACTGAGTTACCTACTATGTCTTGAGTGTCCTGGGATCCAAGCTAAAATAATGTTATTATCATTATTATTTGCATCCACTATGAGTTGTTTGGTCGTAAGAGTTAGAAATTCTAAAGCGTATTTAATATTGTTGGTATTTAATTTTGTGATTGCACTGAGAGAGTCAGAAAATATTATTCCATTTTTAAGATTTTTTTTCAAAATAACCGTAACCCCTTCATATATGGCTATTATTTCTGCTGAAGTTATACTTATTTCGTTTTGTAGTTTTGAAGAGAATTTGTAATCTAGATCAGGAATATAAACCCCAAGACCATTACTATTACTAATTTTAGATGCATCTGTATATACGAAGTGGAAAGTGTTTTTAAATTTTTCTGTGGCAAGATTGAATTTTTCTTTTATGTCAGGGTCAGATTTTTTTATATTTAAGTTTAATGTTTTTATAGGGGTTATTGGTTGAAATAATCAAACTCAAAACAAGGCGGAATGACTTTTTTATAGATTTTATTCTGATACGGACTTAGATTTTCTAGAGCCTGGATGAGGTATGGGAGATTTTTCTGGTTCCCAAAACGGTCTTCGTGAATATAAAACGTTCTTAGCTTTTTAAGGAGGGTTACTAAGGGATGATTCTTAATTGAAAAGGGACCCGCCAAAAATTTTGAGGCCAACCAGTTTCTTCTAAACTCGAGGTTAATTTCTCCCGCTTCCGCTAATAACACTTTGGTAGGGGTTAATTTCATGCATCCTAAGCAAATTCTGAGACTATCGTATTGTATCTTATTGAGTTTGGTTTTGTTTTTTTTTGCTTGTATTTCCAACAACAAAGGATGAAAAATCTATATGGGATTTTATTAAAGCATTATATAAAATTAACGAGGTATGAGGATCAGACCCCCACCAAACTGTTAACACATTTAATTATGTTTATATTCTTTTTGGCTTTTATTACTTGCTGATTGATATAATTATCCCATCTAAGTTGATTGTTAAAAATGACCCCTAAATATTTTACTTCATTTTTAAATGGAAGGGGGTGATTTCCTATTTTTACAGGGGGAGGACGAATTTTACGAGTACCCTTTGTGAACCAAACGCATTCGCATTTCTGAGGGGAGAGTTGAAGGTCGTTATTAAGTAACCATATATTGATTGTGTTAAGAGCCTGATTAATTTTAGAAGCCATAGATATGATATTGTTCCCTTTTAAGAGTAAAGCCATGTCATCCGCATAACCTAGTAATATGAAACTTTCATCTAAGGTATTAAAGAGATCCATAGTGTATATATTGAATAAAATTGTACTTAAAGGTGATCCTTGTGGTAATCCTGATGTGGAAAGGCCTGGACCAATGTAAGAACCATCATTTCTTTTTGTATATAGGAGTCTGTTTTCCAGGATTCTAAAGATTAAATTGCTAAGCTCTTGTGGAATGTGTAATGAGTTTAATTTGTTATACAGCTTATATATCTTAACAGAGTCATAGGCCGATTTTATATCTAAGAATACTGCTAATACTGTTTCTTTTTGCTTAAAAGCTAGATCGATGACAGATGATATAAATGCAATGTTGATACTAATTCTCATTCCTTTTCTGAAGCCTGCTTGGGCCATTTAAATGATTTCTTTTTTTCTAATAACCACTCTAATCTATTCTTAATCATAATTTCCAAGAGCTTGATATAGCATGAGGACAGAACAATCGGTCTATAACTATCCGCCATGTATGGGTCTTTATTAGGTTTTAGAATATTTAAAAAGTTATATTTTTTCCAAGATTGCGGGAGAGATTGTCCTTCTAGGCATTGGTTATAGATTTTAAGCAGCCCTAATTTTATATTTAAGGGCAGATTAAGAATCATTTTATAAGTTACCTTGTCTAACCCAGGAGCAGATATATTTTTCTTAAATAGGGCATTTTCTAATTCTTGTAATAGGAACGGGTTTAGGTCCTCTATAGGACTTAGAGTAAAGCCGGGAATCACATTATAAATTACCATTTTTTTAAGATTTCATTACGAAGGTCGTCATCGAGGATAGGTCTATTGGAGTGTTGATTTATGCTTGAAATTTTTTTTATTTTTTTCCATACATATCTTGTGTCAGAATCTCTATTTAATGACGAACAGAATTTTATGAATTTATTGCGTTTTTTGAGTTTTAATCTTCTTCTGGCAATTGCAATATATTTTTTTGCTTGTATATAGTTTTCAAGTGTAGGAGCAATTTCAAATTGTTTTAGCTTTTCTTTACGTTGTTTGACTATAAAAGTACATTCCTCGTCCCACCATACATTCCCCGTTTTACCTTTTTTGTTTATTTTCAAAAGGATAGCGATGTCTGCCGCCGAATTAATAAGGGTCTCTATCTCTTCGAAAGTCATATCAGTGTTGTATGGTAAAGAGTCTAATATAACTTTGTCCCTATATAGTCCCCAATCTGCTTTTCTATAATTTCTGGCCGATGAAAAATTATGTACAAAAGAGTTTTTTGAGTAGGATTCTCTATCTTTAATTACTGTGATAGTGGGAAAGTGGTTACTGTTGTCACAGTCCGGTAAGACTCTCCAGTTTGATGAATAAGCTATGTCACTACTGACAATCGTTAGGTCTACCGCACTCATTTTCTGATTGGGAGGTTGAAGTAGGGTTGAAGAGCCATCATTTAGAATTACAAGCTCTTTGTCAAATAGGAAATCATTAATATGTTTGCCTCCATTGTTTGGAGTACAATAATCCCAAAGGGGATAATGTGAATTTAAGTCTCCCATCAATATAGAGGGACCCTGAACATTAGAATAAAGCTCCTGTAAAAATTGGGAGTTGATATTATTATTAGAGTTAGAATAAATGTTTTTTTTAACTATAATATATTGAACTTGGTTATCGTAAAAAATTTTTATTTCTCTGTATAAAAAATTGTTTTTTATGCAAGGTGCTATTCCCCTATATCCATCATCCCTGTCTTGTCTAATATTATACGATTTAACTGAAATTTTTTTTTCTTTATTTAACCAGGTTTCATTTAAAAAAATAATATCGGGATCCTGTTCCCTGATTTATGAGATTAGTTCCGTTCTGTTTGAATTGATACTTCTTAGGTTCCACTTAAGTATTTTTAATTTTGAATTGAATTTTATTTGGTTATATTAAAATTTAATTAAAACAAGGGTCGTCAAGATCCGTATAATTACTTAGGTTCATATAGTTAAGGATAAAGTTTTTAATTTCATGTTGTTTTTCTTCTGGTAAATTTAGGACTAGTTCCTTAATGGATCTATAAGTAGGGTTATCATCATATCGTTTTAAATTAGATGTACTGGTCGAGGGTAAGTTCAGAGGGATGTCTTGAGGGGCACTTTTACTTGAGGCATTAATTTCTTTGGTAGTTCTGGAATGTTGATTGTAGATTCGGTCGTCAAATATAGGGGAATTTGTAGCGTGTGTTCTTTCCGGTCTAGAATTAGGAAAGTAAATATTGTCGTCATGGGACTGTCTGTCATAGCTTTTGTGGATCAGTCTTTTTTTGTTGGGTTCCCCCGAGACCGTTTGTTGGTAGGTTCTCTTAGTTTTGTTGGCGAAGTCTGCTAGCCGTCTTTGAGAAGGGGATATAGTGTTCCTGTATGGGTAATTATCATTCTTGTTAACCGTATTATTTCTTAAAGAAGGGAATTCGTTTGGTTGGTATGAAAATACTTCATTATTATTATTGTAGGTTTTAGCGCATAGTTTGTTGGCATCATAGAAGGTTAAGTTTTCGTATGTCATACTCCATTTAATGTTTTGCTGTCGTTTGAATTCGGCGCAGCTTTTCGAAGTAGTTCTGTGTTCATTTCTGCAAAAATGACATTTCTGGGTACACGAGTATTGAGTGGGGAAGTCTGAGCTATCGTCGGTTTCTTCATGTGGATTGTCTGCGCAATTAAAACATTTTTCCCTGCCTTTGCAATTTTTCCTGGTATGTCCGTAGAGTAGGCATTTATAGCATTGAGTGACAGGGGGGATATAAACGTTTACCGGAAGGGGAAGGTCATAAAAGTAAATGTGCTTTGGTAGAAGAACCCCTCGAAATGTGAATAAGACAGTACCGGTTGGTTTATACTGAGTCTTGTTATCTACAATTATTTTACGATTAAGTCTTTTGGCTTGAATTATCTTTGCTGAAGATTTGCATATATTTTCAAAATTTTTTTCGATATCTTCATCTATATCTACGTTCCTTACAATACCTTTACTTGTGACAAAATTAAATGGAATGAAGACCTTAAAACCTTTGTCTAAAACATGTTGGTTTTTTAGGAGATTGTTGGCTGCTTCATATCTAAACAACTCTATCGCTATACGGTTTGTACCTTTGTTGTGAATTTTTTTAACATCCTTGAGATGAAGGTTAAAAATTTCTCTTGCTATTTTAAGATTGTTAAATCTACCTATATTACGATCAGATTTCTCCGCGGATTCAATATAGACTATGAAGGGGCCAACATCTTCGTTTTCATACAGAATAATTTCCTTTTCAACTAGTTCATTAATTTGAGAGCCATCTCCTATAATTCGTTTAATTTGTTGGGGGGTGATATCACCCCAAAGACGTCCATTTGGACAATTCTCTTTAATGGATTGTAATTTGTATGCTGATTAGTTAGTTAATATAACTCACCGGTAAAATAAGAACACGTGTTAGTGGGAGAGAGAGAATTAAGAGCACTAACCTCTCTATCTGAACACCGAACCTGAACTGTATTTTTGTTTGGGTGTTGATTTTGCGATTTAATTTTTTTTGAAGGTACATCTTTTTCAGTGTTTGTGTGTAGTGCTGCTGATTTAACATGCGTTAATAAAGTGGAAACGTCTTTGTACTCTAGTACCTACTACATCAGAAATTACTGGAAGGACCTTATGGACATCTTAATTGAAAACGAAAGGACGGAGGATAATTTAGTCAAATGGCTTGGGAGTTAGCAGGAAATCAAGGTGACCAATACCAAAGTATTGGAAGACTGTAAGGAATTATGAAGGGAACATTCTTAAAATATTTTTGAGGCCTACATTTGTAAACTTATCAAAAGAGGTCTATTTTAGAATTTATCACATTCAGCAGGAACCAAAACTAACCAAAATATGCTCTTATCACAAATAAAAATATGTTTTTGAATTATTGCTTTTTTTTGTAATTCACATAATAAGTGCAACATTTTATTTTTTTCCCCCTGGATTTCCTTACTTCTTCCAATGACGTGTCATAAGAGGTTAATTTCTTGTACTCGAGCTTCCTCAACATTTGTCAGCCTTCTTTGTAGATAAAACATTAAACTCTTTGACTTCCTAGCCTTGGTACTTCTAAAATGAAAACATATTATAAACCTTTAATTAATTTAATTATATCAATAAAAAAATTGTTGAAACAACCTACGGGGGGAGGGGATACATATGTTACTCTGATTGGAGTGGTTTCCATCTGTTAAGTCGCTCAGATAGCAGGTGAGTCTTTCTTATTTTTGGCAAGGGGCTTTTTTCACTATGCCAGGAACCTTTGTAGAGGTATTAGGTTAGGGAGTTTAACTATTTTGTAATCCCTGATAATATTCCTAGTAAATTCTACCCCTTCCAGTCTTCCCTATATTGTCTTTGATGCCTGTGTAGATTTTTTTCAGGTTTCTCCATATCCTGTCCAATATTTCTTCAGTTTAGTGAAAATACATTCTGCAAATAACTTAAAATTGCATATCTATTTCATGTGAGTGTAATTTGCGTTTAAAAAAGATTACTGTTTGTTTGAAAAAAAGATATACCTTCATGCGATCTTCGAAAATTTGTGGCTTTTTCGAGGAAACTTTCCCGCTGGGACGCAGAAAAAATTTTTTTTTGTAAATTTTGTAAATACGAATAATAACATAAATAATAACAAATAATATAAATTTATTATGTTGGAATTTTGTACTCACGATCACTGTCCAATACACCTTAACCAAATTTCTCTTTCAAGACTAAATTCTGCCAATACCGATCACTTCGCTACCGCTACTTAGCAAAAATAAACTCGCTAATAAAAATGGCGTCCACCCCACAACATGTTGGATTTGTAGTGCATGATGCATCGGACGTTTCTGCCACGACTATGTAAATTCAAATGTCCAACACGCTCCCAATCGCCATCGGTACCGGTACGTATTGGGACCGCTTTGCTACGTCCGCTGAATGCGACCAATTTTACCAAAAGGAGACAAATACCGACGTCAAAACAGGCTTAAACCTTAAACCTCAATTCTATGGTCCAAGATGCAGGTTGCATTTCTATGTACTCCTCTAAAATATTTTAAATCGAAATATAGGTATCCAAAACGTTCACATTTGTTCTAATTGACAATTGACTGGATTCTACAGTTTAACAACAGAACATCCCAGATCGAGCCAGATAATTAAAAATTTAGTGAAAAATAAATTTCAGTTGCACAAAAATAAGTTATAAACAATCCCAAGGAGGATAGCGTCAAGCACAGCTACGTGTAAAAGGGAAATAAAAACAAGTTATGTGGTTGGTAGTTCAATTTAGTGAATAGTATTATATTATATACCACCCGTAGAGTAAATGCACTTTAGAAATATTTTTTTTGTCCCAGGTGTCACCACAGACGTTTCAATTCAATTCAATTAAGCGTTTCACAAAAAAATGTTGTGCTCAACTGCTAGGATCATTCGCCCATTGCCGACTTCCGTCGAGGATTTTCGCTTCTGGTCAATGACCATCACGTACAAGAAGAAAAATAACCAATAATTTGCTCAGCTAGCAAAAAACGATTCTGACCGATACCAAAAAAATCGGCTTCCCCCGCTTCCACCCAGGACCATCCGGGCCCATCCGGCCTCCATACCGGCGTGAACAGGGAAAAACGACGGGGCCGACGACGATTATCACTTTAAAACATGCACTGAACACTAAAAACACTAAGTTCACACAGTGGAAACCGATATCAAACTTTTGAGGACGAATACAAGGGATTTTGTCGGGAGCGAACGGAGGTTAAACCGCCGCGTGCAATGCTCCCACCACAGATGTTCTCCCTCTCTCTAAGCTTTTCCTTAAAGTGGGCAAGTTAACTCAGGACAAACAGCGGGGCCGGCAGAACTTAAACACTTAAAAACGAACACCAAACACTATCGAAACAGAGTCACACGAAATAAGACCGATACCAATGTTTTGAGAGGAATTCAACGGATTCTGCTAGGAGCGAACGGAGGTTAACCCGCAGCGTGCAATGCTCCACCACAGAATCACCACAGATGTTAAAACAACATTTATGCTGTGCTTCATAGATCGGAAAAAACGGGTTAGACAGTGTTCTTACTTCAGCTCAGCAGTTAAAAACGATTTATGTTGAATATTGAAATTTGCAGTAAATAAATATGAATGAAATTGAAATCATTTTGTTATAGAAAAGCAAATTTTAATTTCGTGGTGAGCCTAGCACTTTCTAAATTGTGGAAAATCATTTATGAAGATTCTTTTTAGCTGGGACCCGATTGAGTTTGCTTTTTGCGCGATGGTAGAGCGAACTTTTATCGGTACTTGGGAAGTAAGTGCAGACATTGGTCATTTGCGTTAGTAACTAATGAATCAGGCTTTATAATGTGCCTATTTCAAGCACTTCCACCAGCTTCGGAAATGTGACTTTGATGGGATAACACAAGGCTTTTTGCATTTTATTTAAAGAAATTAATATTTAATTTAATTATCTTACCCTGAAATATTGTCAATGCAATTTATTTAAATTTAATTGTGGATGTTTTTTAGGTTACAAATTGTGTATTAAATAACTTGGAAAGGTGCACCGCGTCCAAAAATGACTTGAATGGGTAAGTGTCGAGTATTTTTCCTTAAATATCGTTTATTTATACAATTGCTAAAATAAACTAAACTAATATAAAATTTCTACATCTCCTTTTTGGAGTGATATAGGACGGGATTGGCACAAGACTTGGAAAGTGTATAATGAATATGTCCAAAAATTTTGTATAATTTGTAAAATTCTACTTTTAATTTTGAGGATTTATACTAGAAAATGGTTTTTATGGTCCAAGTACATATTGATTAATTTTTTTAGTATAAAGTTTACGCTGGGCGAAAATGGAGATGTTAATTGGAATGTACCTGAGGAACTTAAGTTTGTGCCTTTGTTTCACTGTGAAAGCTATGAGTATCACATTAGAACAGGTGGTCCTAAAAAATCCTCTTGTATTGATTTACGGTTTGGTGCTTATGCAGGGCAAATTTTTGAATTTAAGGTAATTATGGGAATGGAATTTATAAACTAAAACTACAGATTTTTTGGATTATGTGGAAAATGATAACAGTATAACTTTTAGGTGTTTAACATTAAACCTAAAAAACGAATAATTTTAACAAGTGATGATTTATGCGAGATGGATTGTATTCATGTAGATGAACCTTCAGATTTGGACAGCTATGATGCCCCATATACTTTATTAGCTGCTCTTGAGGATGGTTATTTTTCAGATATCACAATTACTGCTTCAAATAATAAGTTGGTAAATATATTTTTCTGCAGTGAAAGTAGCTAAAATTGTAGCTGGTAATCAGAACAATTATTATTTACCTAATTTTTAGTTTAAGGTACATTCTGCAATCTTATGCCTTTTGGGAAGCGACATTGATTGGTTATCTGATCCACCACCTTTTAGTCATATAGAAGAAAATGTTTTGCAAACTATTTTACATTACCTTTATATGGAATGTCTACCGGAAAATTTACCTAATTCTACTGCTCGTGACACAATTAATATTGCTTCAAGATATAAAAGTTTGGAAGGACTTGTTGAAAGTTGCAGGGAGTATATAAAGAGAATACAACTGAAAGATGGTGAGTTTTATAAAATTTGTTATTTTGCATTAACTAATATCAAAACCAATATTTAATATATAAGCTGACAAGAAATTGAGACACACTATAACTCTTAAACTGTTTGAGGTAGTAAAATGGAATATAATTTCACTTCCGGTTCAAGTGGAAACCAATTTCTTATACAGGATGTTCAGATAGTGGGTCAAATTAATATATCTTCTTTATTGTTTGTTTTACAGAAAAATCTTAAATACAGAAGTTGAGACTAAAAGACAAAATTATTTTCAACATAATTTTTAGGTAAATCAAACTTATATTTTTTAAAATGAAATGTATATTATGGCATTAATAGATACTCACTACTACCACTTTTATACTCACTCAACCAAGGTAGCGTTGTTATGGTTCACACAGAGTGTTTTCGGATTTATGACCATTTTTTCATCAAAAATGCAGTGTTTTTAACACCCTATATTTTTTACCCCGTTTCCTACAGCTGTAATTTTATTGTGCCAATAATTTTATAAAGTGGTCATTTATCTTATACTTGTTTTGAAGCATTCATTACATGTTAACCTATATTATTCCAAACATAAAAAAAAATAAAAAAATACTTTTTTGCTCCGAAATTATTTATTTTGTTGCACTTAAGAATACATTACATGTGTCAAAAAATAAAATAACTCGAAACCTAAGTCGCCCCCCTTGAAACAATCCAGTGTTTCAAAAGAAATGTCACTGTTACGAAATTAGTCTTGATTGGGTAAAACTTACACTTTATCACTGGTCGTTTTAGAATACCTGAGGTTGTTTGAACAGTAACAGTCCGTGTGACTCCATCTGTACCTGGATGTAGTTGAATGACTCTTCCCAGTCTCCACTTCAAGGGTGGAAGTCCATCCTCCTTTATGATCACTAGGGATCTAGTTTTTAGTAGTTGTGTTTTGTTCTCTCGCCACTTTACTCGCTGCTGAAGTTCTGATATCTGATCCTTTGGACCATCTCGACCAAAAATGTTGAGAAAGTTTTTGCATGCGTTGAAATCTGGAGAGAGTGTTCTCCTTCAATTTGGTGAAGTCGCAGTCTGGTATGGTGTTCATTGTTTCGCCAATTAGAAAGTGCGCAGGGGTTAAAGGGTTAGAGTCGTTAAGATCTTGGGTCATAGGACAAAGTGGTCGGGAATTTAAACATGCCTATATTTGATAGAGAACTGTGCAAAATTCTTCAAAATTTAAAGACGCGTCGCCAATTACTCGCTTTAAGTGGTATTTCACCAATTTAACATCGGCTTCCCAAATGCCTCCACAGTGGGGAGCGCGTGGTGGAATGAATTTCCAAAGAATGCCATCATTCGATAGAGAATCAGAAATCTCTTTATTGTTAGCGTTAAAAAGTTGTCGAATTTCGCTGTTCGCGCCTACAAAAGTAGTGCCATTGTCAGATAATATTTGCGAACATTTAACGCATCTTGTTATGAATCTCCTAAAGGCTGCTAAAAAACATTCTGAAGTTAGGTCAGAAACAACCTCTAGGTGGATTGCTTTTATGGCAAAGCAAACAAATAGTGCAATGTATGCCTTGGTTGTTTTGAAATTTCTTCCCTTTCTATCTCGAAGTAGAAAAGGTCCAGCAAAATCGACGCTAGAAATAAAAAAAGGACGAGAAGGAGTTGTTCTTGTGGCATGCAAATTTCCCATGATGTATTGTTCGGGTTTGACATTGAAACGAAAACATCGTATGCATTCATGAACAACCTTTTTAACAAGATTACAACCGGACAGTGGCCAAAATGTTTCTGTTATTGAAGCTAAAACAGCTTGGGGTCCAGCATGTAATAAGGCTAGATGTTGACGTGCAACCAGAGTAGAAAAATGATGGTTAGACGGTAATACGAACGGGTGTTTTTTGGAAAAGTCAAATTGTGAAGAATGAAGTCTTCCGCCAACTCGTATGGTTTGAGTGATTGAATCGAAGAACGGGTTTAAACTTAAAAGTTTACTTTTATTGTCAAGTTTGGAGTTCGACAACAGTCTTTGGTAATCATCAGGGAAACTTTCCATCTGTACCAGTCGAATTAAATGGTTTAAAGAATTACATAATTCGGAAGGCGTTAAAGAACCAAAAGTACGTGCATTTTTTTCTTTATGAGTAATGTTTATTAATCTATGTACATAGGCAAATACTCGTTTGAGTTTCATAAGATGTGGAAATTAAAGTCTTTTGCCGCAGCTCTGGAAAAATAGTTGTCTTTTTACAAGGTATTTGTGTGGGCCAATGATTTTCTGATTGATTTAACCATTTTGGGCCATGAAACCAAATTTCTGATTCTGAAAATTTTGTCGGTTCGATGCCTCTTGAACAGAGATCAGCGGGATTGTCAAATGTATTTACATATTTCCAAGAATCTGGAACAGTTAAATTCTGGATTTGTGATGTTCTGTTGGCCACAAAGGTTTTTAGTAGAGGAGATGTGGATATCCATGAAATAACAATGGTCGAGTCGCACCAATAAGTTACCCGCTGGAAAGTGATGTTGGTTGATGAAATTACCCTTGATGCTAGTTCAGCTAGCAACAACGCACCACAAAGTTCCAGTCTTGGAATGGTAGTTTGTTTTAATGGTGCAACGCGGGTTTTGGCAGTGTAAAGTTTAGAAGTTACGTTTCCAAATGTACAACGCAAGTAAATGTAACTGGATAGAAATTGGATTGATACAAAGTACATGCCTTATTTAGGTGAATCAACTGCGAATGGTATTTTGACCATGTGTAGTAAAAATCAGTGGGTACTGATTCATCCCAGGAAATTTTTGGTTTCCAAAGTTGTTGCAGTATGAATTTTGCAGAAATCGTTACTGGTGACAGAAGACCGAGGGGGTCAAAAATTTGTGAAATTATAGAAAGAATTTGTCGTTTAGTTACTTTGACAATGTGTCGTGAATTGATAGCATATTGAAGATTGTCGTGTTTTGAATTCCACAGTAATCCAAGTGTTTTGTTTTGCTCTTCTCCGATGTGAAGAATGTTGGATTCGAACTTTGATTGAATTGATGTGTCATTTGATGACCATTTTCGAAGTGGAAAACTGTAATCATTCAAGACTTTGGATAGTTTATCCTTTATTTCTTGGACTTCTTCTTTGGTGTCGCCACCAGTTAGAAGATCATCTACATAAAAATCATGAAGGATGAGCAAATGTTTGGTAAATCATTTTTATGCCGATGAGCAACCTCGTGTAATGATCTTATGGCGAGAAATGCGGCAGAAGTAGTACCGTAGGTTACAGTGTTAAGATTGTAAACAAGACACTCGTCATCGGGGTTAACACGCCAAATAATTCTTTGTAATTTGCGTTGATTGGGTGTTATGAGCACTTGCCTATACATCTTAGCAATGTCTGCGCTTAAAACAATGTTGTGTCGTCTGAATCGCAGGATGTTAAATAAATTGTCTTGTATGGTTGGACCTACTAACATTAAATCGTTGAGTGATATACCTGATGAGGACTTGGAAGAACCATCAAATACAACTCGTAATTTGGTCGTTGTTGAAATCTTCTTAAACACACAATGATGAGGAAGAAAGAAATCAGAACTGTCTTGTTGGTTCTCATCAAGTGACATGTGATTGAGTTTTAAATACTCGTTGATGAATTCATGATATTGAGTTTTCAAATTGAGGTTTTTATTTAATTTACGTTCTAAATTGAGAAATCGATTGGTTGCTATTGCTCGAGAATCTCCAAGCTTTGAGATGGAGTCCTTCAATGGCAACGTGACTGCGAAACGACCGTCATTATTTCGAGTGGTGTTTTGTTTGAAGTGATTTTCACAATAAATTTCTTCATTGGAAAAAAATGTTGTTTTTGGATATTCTTCTAACTCCCAGAATTTCGTTAGTTCAGTTTGTAGCGTTTGATCAGTTGAAAGGTGACAAAAATGTGTTTGAGAAGTGTTGAACATTTTAGATGTAACACTTTCTACAACCTGTAGGCTTACAATCCTTTGTAGAATGTGTTGTATTTAAACAGTTTATGCAAAGGCGTAAACGTTTCGCTGCGTTTAACCTCTCATTTGGACGAAGTTTTGTAAATTCAGAACAGTAATAAAAAGCACATTTTCTTGTTGACACAGATACCAAAGATTTTGAAGATTTAGTAAATGGTTGTTTGTAAAATTGTTGTTGTTTTAAATCGTTTGATTCTATTGATTCTAGAATCCTGCATCGTTCCTTTAAAAAGCTAGTTAAACAATCTAAAGTTGGTAATTCATTTCTACTGTTTTGAAATTCCCAAGCGTGACGTGTAGAATTGTCAAACTTGGAGGAAATCAAATAAATTAATAAAACATCCCATTGATCGGTGGGGCGGTTAAGAACATTTAAAGCGCGTAGTTTTTTTTGCATTCCATCTAAAAGTTGTGTCAAGCCCTGGTTCTTTTGTGATGGTAGGCAAGTTAAAAATTGCTTTAATGTAATTGGTGACTAATAAATGTTTATTTTCAAAACGTTCTTCAAGCATTTTCCATGCGACGGAATAATTCGCATCCGAAAAGCAAAGATTTTATTGTATCAGCGGCGGTACCTTTCAGTGAAAGCCGCAAATAATTAAATTTTTGAACATCCGCAAGGGCACTGCTTTTGTGAATCACTGATAAAAAGGTATCTCGAAAGAATAACCAATTTTCTGTAGCTCCGTCGAATGTTGGCAAATTTAACGCTGGAAGTCTAGTGCTCATTAAGTTATTATTTGCAATTTGTGGCGAATTTTCACTATTAGCAGACTGTGATTGAAAAATAACACTTTCATTGTTAATGGAAATGAAGTTCCTAACCTCCGAAATAATTTTGAAGTACGTGTTTTCGAAACTTTCTCGTTCAGGAGCGTGTAAATTGTCATAATTGGTGTCACAATTTTCATCGGCAGATTCAATCTGCAGTTGTACGTCATTAAAATCGTCTAATAATTTTTCAGCTCTGTTCAAACATGTTTGTAACTCATCTAAATTTGTTTCAGCCCCT